TTTTTTTTTTCTCTATTCTGACATGCTCGTGTCAGAATAAAGAAAAAAGACACAGCGGGGTTTTTCTCCTTGGCGGCCAGGAGCCGGAGACTCCCGGGGCGCCAGGGAGAGTTAGATGTTTGGAGATCAGTGTCCCTGGTTAGCAACCAGGGACGCTGATCTCTCTGAAAGTGGCCGGAGCCAGCCGTAAGATCATCCTGTGGAGAGGGTAGTGTTAGATACAGATTTAGATGGACTTGACTAACAAATTAAATCCGAACTCCAGATAACACATTTTAAGAAGTTACAGCAACAGTTTTTTCCTTTTTATATAAATGTTTTGATTTGAATAAAAGATGACCATTGTAATCACCCCTGTCATTGTTAAATGGCTTGTCTCAACCCTCTCTGCCATTTTGCTGGACAGTTTGGTCTGTTAAAGGAAGTTGGAAAATAAACAACTTACTGGCTGGATCACCAGGTAGAAAAAAAGGGAAAAGTAGCTTTAAAACAAAAAACAAATGCAGCCACTACAGTTACGGATTGATATTAGATACATTTTAGCCTCAGACTCCATCCCCACTGCATAGAAGAGCTGATCTGATGTACAGCTTGTACAAATTACAACAAGAGAAATCCATTGGTGACTTCACAATGTCATAATCAGCAACATCTGAAGTTTAAGGGGGGGGGGCAATCTGTTGTCAACTCACTCATGAACGTCATTGAAAAAAGCTGTATTATGCTTGACCCCCACAGTCATCCATCGCAAGACATGCATTGGGAACAGCTGCTAAAATGAACTGGTCACCTCATTTGTCCCAAACACGTTCAGGCTATGCCCAGTGGAACCATAAGTGATATAAAAATCAAAATGTTTTTTAATTATTTCAAATGTTGTTCAGTCACTTACAATGAATGCTGCTCCTTGATGTTAAAACATTTTTCTTTTCTGCAAAATTAGCTGGTCCCTCAGCACTGTCCCTGATATCTGTTTAAGGGTGGCTCATTTCCCTTGCAGGGTCCTATGGAGCCACCCCATAGCAATCTGTGTGTGTCTCCACAAATACAGCAAGGAAAGTCACTTCCCTCGCCTCTGCTCCCCTCTCTTCTCTCTTCCCTTTTCCAAGATAGTAGAGGGGCAGCTGCCTGAGACTGCTCTTAGTCCCTATTCACACCAATGCGTTTTGTAGCTCAAATCTTGGAGCTACAAAATGCTCAACACAAGGAAATCCATTGTTTTGTATGGCCTTTGTTCACACAAGAGAGTGGTTTGTTGCCTGCAGAAAAACGCCTGTTGCTGGAAAAAGCCCATTGGCTACATTTCTGCAGTTTTCTGTGCGTTTGGTCCTATAGGCTTCAATGGAAACGCCTGAAAATGCACAACACAAGCATTTTTTATGTAATTGTTTGTGTGTTTGTGTGTTTTTGTGCATGTTTGTTGGTTTACATTAATAGTTAGCAATTTGCTAGCTGAAAAGTGCGACTTAACATACGTGTCAGCAAAAACGTACAAAAACTTGCAATGATATACATGAAAACTCTGTCACCTAGCCTCATACTGGACAGGAAGTTTGGTGAAGCTGTGCTTAGAGAGTTGGAGTCAGCTGTTTGAAAACATGATGACTGAAAGGCCGGGTTCACACCTAGGCGGCATTGTTTTTGCACATTGAAAATGCGCGTTTTGACTGGCACCTTATGAAACATTGCAGGCAATGGACGAACGTGAGTACAAAACTCGCACAAAAATGCTCAACATGCTTCTGCTGCGCATTTGCGGGCGTTTCCATTGAGGTTTATGCGGCAAAAATGTGCTGTTAGCTGTCCAAAGAAGCTCATGTACCTTTTCAGGCATTTTCCTGCTGGCATTTTGCTGCTCTGGTGTGAACAGGGACCATTGAAAATCATGGGATTTCTGGTGTTGGGCATTTAAAAGTGCTTTTCCAACTGTTCAAAATGCCTAGGTGTGAACCAGGAATAATTGCTTGGGCAAGGATTTAAAGCAATACTTTGCTAGGCAATGTATCTTTGTTTGGGTTTGATTCATTATAGAAAGAAGTTTGAGAGTTTAATACTACTTATACCAGGCTTACAGTACCAAAGAACTGAAGTAAAACATCTAACAAAAGATTTCTCAAAATCCATTAAAATGTTTTCTTGATTTCTTGATGTATTTTCTAACAGAATAAATAAATATCTTGCTGCAAATGGAGGCCACAACCTTGATAGATTTTTTATTATTGAATATACTGGTACAATGCATAATTATTACACAAAAGCAGGATCAGAGTCCTTCAGGTGCTGACCTTTTCTTTTCAAGCAGTGTCAAATTAATTGTGAGAAAACAGGAACTACACCACATAACATATGACAGTAAAGGTCATTGTGTTCCTGCACAGTTATCTGGTGTTTGTATCTAAACGCATATTGTGCATTTTCTCCCACATGTGTTTCTGCCAAATATTTAATCATTTGATCTCAGTCCTTCCTGAATGGTCCTGATGATGATGTTCCATTTACGTGTTCTAACAAACACTTGCGTTGCGTTGCATTTTTAAAAGACTGCAATTGAATTGACTGATTTTCTACCTGCAGGTCAACACACCACAATGGAATCATGCAGGACTTTTCTTTTTCAACTAAAAAAAAAAAGACAGACTGCATTGCAAAGTATGGATTTTCTCATGTCGCTGCCTTTTGACTGCACTCAAAAACGGCACTAAAACTATTAGGCCTGGTTCACACCTGAGCATTTTGTAGCGCGTTCCTACGCTCTGCAAAACGCTCAAACAGCGAAATCCCATTATTTCCTATGGGTATGGTTCACACCTGGGCGTATTACAGGCCGTATGAACGCGCTACAAAATGCCCTAGGCCCAAAGAATTACAGGAGCTTCTTGGGGGCGTATTTGCCGCGCGTATCCATTGGGATACAGCCACGTAGCCCTCGGAAATGTGTGTTTGTCGCAAGTTTTTTACAGCGAATCGCGGTAAAAACATGCGGCACAAAACGCGCGACAAACTAAAGAGCCGAAGAATCCAGTCGTAGCTTCGGCTGATCCTTCGGCTCGCTTCAGCCGTCTCTGCCCTTCGGTTCAGTTGAACAGAAGGGCTACTACAGGCTATTCGCAATAGCCCGTACAGCAGCAAAAGGCAGCTGAGCCGTAGTGACACCCAAAGCATGGTGAAAGGTTGGGGAAGCCGACCGATCTCCACGCAAATAACAGCTTGGCGGAGTCAGCAGTGATCTCACGGCAGCAGTGATCTCACGAACCAATCTAGCGCTGAATACTGAAAAATGGCCTGGATGGGAAGGGGGGTTAACACCACGGATGTCAACTGGTTAAAAATAATTTTTCAACTGTTTTTTTCATTCATTTAACTGTTTTGCTATTCTGCTCGCTTGGTACCAAGCAGAATAGCTGAGCCGAATGCCGCCGAATGAAAATAGGAGCGAACGGCAGCGAGTGAGCTTCTGCACTTGGGCTCAGTCGAACATGCAGCCATAGTGCTAGCTGACTAAAAAAAGGTGCAAACTCCCTAAAAATGGTAAATAGCACTAGAATTAGGAATATGTTAAGTCAAGTCACATTGCCTACCATTTTGCAAATATTCTGAATTCAGACGTTGTACTTCCCTTACCCCTATGTACAGTGCTAGTTGATATTCCTAAAGTTGAACATACACCAATAAACTGTGAACCACAGACAATTAGAGGACATACTACCTGTCCAAAGGAACACCACTAGAGTAATACTTTGTAAATACAATTGGGTTTCCAGAACCCAGAGTCCATGCTGGAGATAGAATCTGACCTGGTGGCAAGGCAGTAAGTTCATATTTGTAGGAAAAGCTTGATGGGTATTGAGAGAGATTTGAGACCACTTTTTTGCTTGCTGTAGTCTATAGATTTGATTTAATAAAGGTAGAAAGTTTTCATTCCACAAAATGAAGGTCCATTTAGTGAATAAAGCGGAGCTGTGATTACATCGATCACGTGCAAGCATCCAGTTTTTGCCATTTTCATTTGATATTCAAAGTAAGCACAGCTTCATGTTGTTCACTAAACAAGGTGAAAATCCACTTTGCTGTGTAAGTATTCTCTACTCATTGAGTAAATAAACCACTGTGAGGTTTATTTAGTAAAGGAGAAGAACATGTTCACTTTGCAAGGTAAATTTTCACTTTGAAAAGGGAATTTTGATTTAGCTTAGTGAATGCGGTTAAAGAGAAAATTCACTTTCAAAAGAATACTTAAACATGTGTGAGAATACAATTAAAAACCCAGGATTTTCACTCACATATGATCAGATGATGTTAGCACAGATTCACCTCATTCACTAAGCTAAGTGAAAAGTGGCAAAGTGAACATGCTCTTTTCCTTTAGTAACTCATCTCCATTTAAAGTGCATGTATGCAAGAACTTAAATCTATGTGGCATATTAAATGAAAACTGTTCAAACAAGTGACATCATTTACTTTGCACCATAACCTCTGTGAATGAATACTTTCTATATCATATTTATTAATATAAATTATTGTTAATATAAATATAATATATTTATTATATATTGTCATTTGCAAAAATCAAGTAACCTATCATAAAAGGAAGTAGCTCACAAAGTATAAACTAAAAAGAACAATTTGCATATGATGTGCTTGAAAGAAATAGTTCTGGTTATGGTGCATTAATGGAAAAAAAATCACCTAACCCGTCACAATCTAGCCATCTTTCCTCTTGTGTTAATATTAAAGTGACTTTGGAGATTAAGCATAAAATAATCTTTTTAAATTACGTACAACATATGTTGTGCATTCACTAGATCAGCAAGGTGATAATGCGCCTAGAGATAGAGATCTTGGTAATGTGAATTTCATTTTACAATCACTGGGGAAGGCCATGTTAAAAAGGAAACAGCTTGTTGATTATCTGTTTTCACTTCCTCACAGATATATAGTTCCTGCAGCTGTGCCATACTGTTCACAGTGGAAGTTCCTTGGTGTTCAGACACAGGACCAAAATGAGCAACTGGGTGGTAAACGAAGGACTTTCCATCATTGTTATTGTAAGTATAAATATCTCATAATCATATCCTCTAGCACCTGTAAAAGTAATGGCTAGTACTACAAATTTTAAAACAAACATAATCATAGTTGCTTAATCTAATACAAGTCATTACTTTATATCAATATATGTAGTTTAAAACTGTTATGATATAACAAAATAATACTCCGCTAAAGAAAGCCACATCTTACCGCCAAGAATGTTTTTTTGTATGGAATGCTGAACAAATATGTATAACTATACCTAGGTATTTGATATACTTTACACTACTAAGATTTTGCTAGTTTTGAAGCTGCGATTCATTAAAAAGTATATTTATTTCGAATTCTCACTGCAGGATAGTGTTTACTAAAATGTCCTATACTCATTTTGTTACAATGCATTTTATTGAGTTTTTAAATATTACAAACATCTCAATATCAAAACATTAGACAATGCAAGGTAACATAAAAATTATTATTACATTCAACATCATAATGCTAGTACATATACCGTCACAATTAAATTGTTGTTGATGAGAGATTTTGAAATTGATTAAATTGTTGTTGATGAGAGATTTTGAAATTGATTACATTGTTGTTGATGAGAGATTTTAAAATTGATTGCATTTTTGTTGATGAGAGATTTTGAAATTAATTAAATTGTTGATGAGAGATTTTTTTAAAGTTCTTTGTTTATTGAGAAAAAAAGTCAGAAACATACAGGGTGTACAAATGAGCATCAAACATCTTTCCAAATATCAAAAGGGACAAAATAAATGTAAACAGAATTATGAGAAAACCATCACAATATGAGATAATTGGCTACAATTGATGTATATACAGATAACTGAACACATAGAGGGTTATTCACTAAGCCAAATGAATAAATTAGCCGAAGTGAACAGAGCTGAACAGCGTTCGGCTATGCACTTCAGCTCTGTACGGCCGATTCCAGCCGTACATCGGCTAAAATCAGCCGTACATCGGCTGGCTTTGGCTGGCTTCGGTCAGCCGAACATGCGGAAGTGCAGAAGCCGTTCGACTCAGCTAATCCAATGTATGGATCGGCTGAGCCGAAGCTCCGGCAGTTCACTCGTTGCCGTTCGCCCCTATTTTCACAGTACCCGAGCGGCAGTGAGTGAATAGCCGAATGTCGCCGAGCAGCATTCGGCTCGGCTATTCTGCTCGCTACCTCCGAGGTAGAGAGCAGAATATAACAAATTGTAAATAAAATTTAAAAAAATGATAGAAAAAAAAAACACATGTTAAAAAGTCATTGACTTGTAAAAGAAAGAAAAACAAAAAACAGCGCGGGGTCCCCCTCCCGATCCATACCAGACCATTTAGGTCTGGTAGGAATGTTAGGAGGGACCCCTATTTAAAAAAACAATTGTGTGGGGTTCCCCCCAAAAGTCATACTAAGTCCTCTGGTAGGTCTGGTAGGAATTTTAAGGAGGAACCCCACCTCCAAAAATGGGAGGGGGAGTAAATTCCCAACCAGATCCTGGAGTTAAGTTCTATTGAGTTTCACTGGGACAGTTATGGGTTTTAAACCCCTGTTCCTAAAACATATTTGTCCCTATAAGTGCCCAAAAAAGACCATTTCATTTGCATATTTTCTATACTGCATGCATCCTCCAGCATGTGTTCCTGTTCCATATTGTATCCAGCTTTTAAATTATATTAAAATTGAAGTATTATTAGGATTATTATTATTAAAAGTTTTATTTCTAAAGTTTACATGTCAGTGTTGTTATAAATGAAAGGACCATAAATTACTGAAATTTGGCAGCAAATCACAAAATTGTTTGTCTATAGCAATAAATAAGAGAAATGCCTCACCTAAAAAAAAAAATCAGCTTTAATCACTGTAATTATATTTTTCAGCTGGCATGGCTTGGACTAAACGGGTTCCTCTTTTGGTTTTATTACCGTGTATATGACCAAGAAAGGCGATTTATCTATTCTAGAGAGATTTATGGGGTACGTATCTGTGCTGATGATTACTTACTGTGTTTATGAAAATTCCCCTCTGCCAGTGTCAGTGTACCATCCATACACCATACATGGCAGTGCTTCTTATCAATAAGTGCCTCTCATTGGTCAGCACTGTCCAATGAGTGCTCAACAATTGCCAGCGAAATTCAAAATACAGAGTTCAGGGCTTCACTGCCGTGTACAAAATACAGATAGTACACTGGCTCTGGTGGAGGTTTTTTGGAAGGAGGAAACTCCATTTTCCCTAATTCAATGGGGAGTAACTATTTATCTATAAGTTTACTAAATGTCTAAAGGTGACCATAGGATCCCAACTTCTACTTCTAAAGTAATGTGATTTTTAAACCTTATCTTTCCTGAGAGATATATAAGTGTTTTTCTTATTAACTATAGGTTTCTAAAAAGTCTTAAGTAGACCATAGGTAGCTACAGCTTTCCCTTCTGATTGGCATTTTCTTTAAGGAACATCAAAAGTAAAAGTATCAAGTCAATGAAAAAAATTAAATCAGCTAAGTACATTCCAGGTGCATCAAGTTCAGGGCTCTTTTGTCAGCAAAGCCCATACTTGCTGCTGATTGGAGAGCTCTGGCTCTGACTCAGAATGGGTCATGTTGCACTTTTGCAGAGAGATTACTGCTTTCGCACAGAGAGCAAAGGTTCCACTCTGCAGCATGCTGCCAGTGGACCGGCTTTTCTACTCAGGTTGTGTATTCTTTTAAAGAAAACAAACTGTAACACAATGAACATATTTTTTTGATGCGCCTCAAATGTATTTTGGTGATTTAACTTACAGTTCAGTTGGGCTTCAAACAGAAACTACACCCTTAGCTTAGAAATGACAACAAAGGCATCTTTAAAAATGTTCGACACAGGTAGTCCCCGGGTTATGAACAAGATACTGTAGGTTCTGTAGGTTTGTTCTTGAGTTGAATTTGTATGTAAGTTGGAACAGGAACATTCCTTAAGTGCAACTCCAGAACAAACATTTTTTTTTTAGTTTTGGATAGCATGAGGAAGGGTTAAGCCCCTGTAACGTTTGTTTTGCTGTCTGTGCCCGTGTTCAGCAGATTTCCCTACACTTTCTGTTCCTGTGACAATTGGATTTTGAAAAATGTTGGCTTGTTGTGGAAACATGGATTGGTGATTAAGCTTCAGTGGAGACATCTTTTTCTCATGATAACTCTTACAGGAGTGAATTTCCCTTCCTAGGGGTAGATTTCCTGTTGTCTCAAGAACAGGAAGTGAGATTAAATCTTTCTAATGAGGATGCGGACAGCAGTAAAAAACCCACACCATACTAACAAAAAAAACAAAAAACATTTGCATTGAGTTCTACTTTAAATGCAACTTGGACAGACGTTTGTACAATTTCCTGTAATGTACAGTACCAGACCCGGAAGAAGAGGTGGGAACCCCTCGTCTGCACGTCTAACAAGAGCCAACTTCCTATAATGTACGTACAGTACTACAAACCAGACCCGAAAAGGTGGGCACCCCTTGTAGGCATGAGCGCGGTAGCATTATAACTACCGGAAGGTTGCGTGGTACACTTTGGCTGTACAGTAATAGCCTCCATTTATAAGTACGAGTTGTACGTAAGTCAGATGTTCATAACTCGTGGACTGCCTGTAGTGGCAATCTACAAACAGATACTTATTATTATATTATAATAATTAATACATTATTCGCTATTGGGCCAAAGCAATAGCTTTGACTGATTCGTCAAACCGAAGGGCTGCTGTACGGGCTATTCCCAATAGCCCATACAGCAGGCGAAGGCAGCCGAGCCGAACGCATATGTCTCGGCTTGCCTGAGCCATAGGGGGTGATTTACTAACCTAAACACACGCACGCACCAGGTGCGTGTGATTTTTACACAGCAAAGCGTATTTATCAACCAAAAAGTCTCTAAAAGCATATTTCCACTAATGCCATATATGGAAAAATCATGCACATGATGCATATATAATGCTGCTTCACAGTTTAGACAAAAATGGTTAGCTCATGCATTTACATTCCTGCATTCATCAACGCAAGCAACACAATGTAGAGCTAATTTACACAACATCACCTTGTAAATCATGCAGGGCTTTGCACAACACACCTGCTGGGTGTGTACACACTACAAAGGTGTCTAGATTCCACCAATAGATCATGCTGGGAGGGAACACACTACAGAGGTGTATACTTGTTTGTGGCGTGTTTATAAGGTTAGTAAATCAACCCCATAGTGACAGCTGAAGCATGGAGAACGGTCTGATATCACAGCTGGCTCTGCCCAGTTGTTGTCCTTCAATGACAGACCAGCGTCCTCAGGTTATTTGAGGAGAATGGGCTGTCATTAAATGTCGACACAGCAGTGCTTTACACAGCACACGCTATCCGGATCTTTTTATTGCTCCGGTCATATTGTCCTACGGCTTGTTTTTATCTTCAACATAGTGAGTACCTGTCAGTTCACCTTTATGCCTGTCTTTTTGGATTAAACAATATTGCACCAGGAAAGGCGCCTCTTCTTTTGTGTTTTTTGTCATTAAATGACAACTGGGCAGAGCCAGCCGTGACATCATGGGTGGCTCCACCCAATTGTTTCGATTTGTCCAGGACCTATGGGCAGATTTTCAGGTGCTGGACAAATGTAATGAGTTGGGGCGGAGCTAGCAGTGATATCACCGCTAGCTCTGCCCAATTGTTTATATGTTGCCGGCATCTGTCAGAATGTCATTCTGTGTCGGTGTTTGTTGCAAACGGGTCAGGTGGGGAAACCCACACATCATTTTTTTTTGGTAACTTGGGGTCCCTCCTAATATTCATACCAGACCTAAAGGGTCTGGTATGGTTTGGGAGGGGCATCCCATGCTGTTTTTTTTTTCTTTTCTTTAAAATGTTTTCTTTTTTTTATCTTTTATTTAAATAATTTAAATATTTTTTTTCATTTGTTTAAATTTTTTCTATTCTGCTCGCTACCTCAGAGGAGCCAAGAATAGCCGTGACGAATCCCGCTCGGCAGCATTCGACTACTCACTCCCTGCCGTTCTGATCTATGAGAATAGGGGGGAATGGCAGCGAGTGAACTGCTGGAGCTTCAGCTCAACCGGCCCAGATGTTGGATAACCCTCTTAATGTTTCACCCCATTGTAACTGGCAAATCTGCTATTAAGGCTGGCAATTAATTGTACCGTAACACATTACATTTAAGCTGCAGCATCACATGTACCCCCAGGAAATAACATGTTACTCCTGACAGTTGGTTGGTTTTTGGTGACTCTTTCCATATATCTTCAATTAAAGACTTTTGTCACCATACTGAGTTTATATTAGTAAACTAACACAAATGTATTTTATCATCCTGTTCTGCAGTTAGCCCTAGCCTGGGCCAGAGCTCCAGCAGCATGCTTGAACTTTAACTGCCTGCTCATCTTACTGCCAGTATGTAGAAATCTTCTTTCCTTTCTCCGTGGATCAAGTGCGGTAAGAATAAAGTTAAAGTGAACTTAACCAAACAATGAAAACAAATTGCTATAAATCCTAATTGGCATAAAAATTCTATTCTATACAATGGCTCTTGCTCAGAAATGTTCTGTTTATATGATGTTAATAGTAGAGAACTCTAGAGAATACACCCGGCCTCTGGGTATAGTTGGTAATTTTCTGGGAGCATTGGGACAGCCTTTTTGACCCCCTGTTTCATTATAGATTGAAAACAATAGATTTTTGGAGTACTGATTGGTAACCAAAAATCATGTTATCTAGGCTGTCTAGGCTGGTTTTTTTTTACTCATAACAAGAATAAGGTCCTTCTTAATTCAAAACAATAAAAATATTTAATAATGCTGACTTTCATATTTTAGATTCACACATTTAAATTTCATAGATAGGTTCACTTTAATTTAAAGAGGTCTGTCTTTCAAGTTTAACATGAACCTGTAATAAATTATATGGGGGTTTTTTTGGCAAAGATTTTGTCAGTTAGTTATTTCTATAAATAAATAAGACAGTTGTGTATTTTGTGTGGCACTTACAAACAAAAGAGGGAGGCAGGCAGACACCATTACTGCAACAATAATTCTGCCACAGGAAATCACAATTGTTCCACCTGTTCCCAGGATAGGGTCTTTGTTCACTCCTGTCAAACCAGCAGAATTACAATTTTTCTTTCAAAGAAGAATGAGTTCAGGGGCACTCTTTATTGCAAAATGTTCAAGGTTACAAACATTTAAAAGTCTAACAAATAAATCACTTGGGAAAGTGTGCAGATACCACACAAAACAGTTGTTGGCATATAGAATATTATTTTACTGGCTGTATGCTTGACTTGTTCCAGGTCAGCAGAAAAAAAAATCAACAGTGCTAGCTCATGTATATTTATCTTTCATTGATCTTTGATTATTTTGCATATTTTTTGGGTCTAGTGCTGTTCTAATAGGATCCTTTTATGCTGAAAAAACAATGATGATGTACAACGTGTCCAACAACTAGATTTTAGTTTCCTCTGGGCAAAACTAAAATATGATTTTTTGGGGTTGCTTGGTAAATTCTTTGGGCTATTGCATTATAGTTTTGATGTATTGTTCCATGTTGGCGTTTTGTTACTTAAATGCATGGAATCTGTAAGTCATAAATTTTATTTATTTTTTGTAGAAAAATTTAAGCTTGTTCTTGGGCTCAGTATGAATATTCTCTTTGTTCTTTTTTTCTATACCTGCAGTGCTGTGGGAGAAGTATACGAAGACAGCTGGACAGGAACCTAACTTTTCACAAAATGGTGGCATGGATGATTGCCCTACATACAAGTTGGTGACATTCAATTGTTCATGTTTTGCAGTATTAAAAGGGATTTCTCTATCCCACCTGTATATATTTTTTACAATTCAACTATGTGGAGAAAAATGGCTAGAGTTAGGCTCTATTATTTTGCTAAATATAAGTGTCATTGTTGTATAGTATGTTCCTATTTAATATACTGTATTTACTTAAGCTTTTGTTTCCTGCCTCAGCTATCCATACTGTGGCACATTTGTTTAATGTGGAAAGGCTTGTGGATGCCAGAGTGGAAGCGAATGGTACAATTCAAGCTGCTCTTTCTGGCCTTGGGGACAGGAGTAATGAAACCTACCTTAACTTTGTTCGATCAAAAGTACCAGTAAGTAGGATACTAACTCTGGACTTGTTTCATGGTATGTGATTGAACTTTTTATCAGTTGAAGAAAAACTTACAGTTCCATTACAAGTGTATAACAAATATAATGTCTTTGTTTACAACTCGTGACAGGCAGCTTAGGTTCAGTTTGTGGGTGAATACAGCAAATGCACTGAAAACTTTGCCAGTCAAAGTCAATGGGAATCGTATCTTGAAAATCAGTTCTCTCCATTTTCAAGGCTAATAGGCAAGGGATTGTCAAATAGAGGTTATAGGAAGCTGGTCTTTGCCCTGGGGGACATGTATCAATGCAGGGAAAAAAAAATTACAGTTTTGGCCGCCCATTTCATGCAACTTTGAGAGTGTCATGGGAAAAACACCAATTCTGCAGCAGCTTGGGGTTAAGCGACACAATGGAAAGGTAACTATATAGTATCTTCTATTACAGGCTGGGGTTATTTTACTTTTGTCCCTGTTGTGGCAAGGTAACTTTAAGAAATAATAATTCATGCACCAGCATCTAGTATCTGGTGAAACAGTAATGTATCATTTTTGTGTTAGAGAATGCAAGTGGAATTCTGTTTGGTTGATAAAATCCGCCCTCATTCAAATCAGTATTATGTTATTAGTATTTTTAAACTCATACATTTACAGTGCAAGTATTATAATATTCAAATTGATGGTGTTTGTAGAATCTGGAAATTCATATGAAGAATGTTCTAAACAAAATGTTCTTACTTATTACAGAATCCAATAGGAGGAATAAATGTTGCATTTACATTTCTTGCCGGCCTCACAGGAGTAGTGATTACATTGGCTCTCATTCTAATCATTACTTCTTCTACAAAAACCATTCGTAGATCATATTTTGAAGTGTTTTGGTACACGCATCATCTCTTTGTCATCTTCTTCATTGGTCTCATTATTCATGGAGTTGGGTGTGTATTGAATGTATATCTATGCTAAATAACTTTTAATATGCCTTTTGTAGGTTTTAGTCTAATAAGAAATTGACATTTGCCAGTCATGTATCAAACAGAACTCATAACCCGGTCTAAACCTTCAATTTTCTACTATTTTTTTTATGTTGCCTTGTGAGATTTCCACTTGCTTCTGTCTGACACCCATTAAATAATGAGGCTTTAAAAATAGACAACATCCACCAAACCAGGACCTTGTGCTTTGGAAGAGAATTTTGTATAATTTTTAATTGTAAATGGGAATTGAATGGAAAACTACCTAAAACAAAAACAACAAAAAAAGTTTTAGTCAGAGTTCTACTGTAAATCTGAGTACAGGTAATTTAAATGTTATTACACCCTTAGTCTTCTTGTAAATCCAACATCATATGACTGATTTTGTTTATGAACTTTGAACAATACAAATGTAATTATTATTATTAGATTTAATTATATATTTTTTGTTTTTTTAGGAAGATAGTTCGAGGACAGACTCCCGACAGTCTTAAAAATCATACGCCAGAAATTTGCAAGTCGAATTATAGTGAGTGGGGTCAAGATCCCAAATGCCCAATACCCCAATTTTTTGGAAATGAACCAGTGGTATGGATTTTTCTTTTGAAAAACTAGACATAACTATTTACAATCAAAATCGAAATCACTTAAGCTTTTGAGTATTGCCTTTTCCCCAATGTGTGGAAACTCATTCATGGTTTCCAGTACCCGTGTTTGCAAGCAGACCAAATTAATCTTTGTGTTAGATTGGCAGATCTTTGACAGATTTGCCCAAATATGCTAAATCTATGTTTTTGACACTTGAACCAAGGTTGCAAATTTTGAAACCAAGCTGATGCTTTTTTCATACAAATACATGGGGTCATTATAATTAGAGATGCCTCCTGTTTATGCTACTGGTCAAATACAGCCAGATTACCACCTAAAATGTTTCACTCCTCTACAGTAATCATTTGTATGTGGAACTTGGTTGGTCATACACAATGAGACAAATTAAGTAATGCAACAGATTAGACTTGCTTGACCAGACAGGGAATGTGTTAACATGACATTGATGGTGAGTTCTTCCTGCCATTGGAAGATTTTGTTGTTACATGCAGAGACTTTTCATTCCCTATAGGGAAAAACAAATTGACATTTCTCCTCCTGCGGGCCTGGCAGCAGACATACATTTCTTCATTTGTGAAGTGATGAGGATTTTCTAAGTTCTGAGTTCTGATCTGCCATTCTCCAGCTGCTGTGGGCTGTATAGGTGTAGACACCTAATGTCTCCTTAAAGAGAACCAGCCACCACTAAGCTATCACCTAGGGCACTTGTTAGTTAAAAGAGAGCTATAGCCAAACTTTTTTTGGCTTTAGTTCTCTCTGGTGCCAGAGAAGTAGAGTTACTAATGTACTCTTGTGACCCAAAGTCAGCATATAGCGGACTGTTGCCCGCTATATGCTGAAAGCACAGAGCCGACAATATTGCTGGCATACACCCTGCTGCCTTACTGACAGCTGGCTCTACCTCTCCAGAGCCAGAGGCACATGTGCCCACCCCCTCCGCTGTCTGACCTTCCAACGGGCACTGCAGGAACAGAGAGAGGGGAGGGGGTAATCCCTGAGGGGAGTAGTGAATGACAGTTGCCACTCTCTTCAGGGAGAAGCCGTGAGCTGAGTAATCAGCGGTTTGTGATCACTCAGTTCTCAAACTATAGAGCCAGTTCGTGATGGCTGCAGTGTTACATGCCAGTTCAAACTATTGGGAAAAGTACATTTTACTTTAACAATAGTTCTCATTTAAAGTTTAGTAAAGCTAATACATTTTTAATACATTTAATTAAAAACACCCCCCCCTAAAAAACATTACCCCACAATTTTTTTAAAGTCCTTGCTCCTACATACATGTACATACAAACACAAACACATGCGTTTGGTTTACCTACATATAAATATGATGATTGTGCCACACACGTTAGGTATTGTCACACTCTGGATCAGACAAAACAAATAAAAACGAAAAACATTTTCATGCAGTTCGTCAAAGGAAAAACATTTTTATGCTGTTTTGCAGAGGCGGCTCTAGACTTGATGATGATGAAGCCTTAGGCTGAGCTGAAATGTGAGGCCCCCACTTACACCCATGCTGAAAAAAAATGCATACGATAATTAAAAATGAGCTGTGATGGTAGAGAGAGGTGGACGGGGCCCAGGGCAAGCGCAAGGATTTTTGCCTACATAGGCCCCAGCTCCCCAGTGCCCCGCAGATGGCTGACTATGCAGCCTTACGCTAGCACTGGCCCTAGTCCCGTGTCACCCAGGAGGTGAGCTGAATTAGACCAGGAGTCAGCAAGCTTTTATGCACTGAGTGCCATTTTTTTGCAACCATCAGACAACTGGGTGCCAATGAGCAATAGTGCACCACAGTGTTAGTTCAATTTCAATTTTTACCCTCATAGTTGTACTGCTAATAGTACGTTAAATTCACGAATTAGTTTAATGTGTTTACCTCGCAAGTAGCAGTACAACTATAAGTGGAAAAAATGAATAACTGGTGCACATATAAAACATGTTCATATTTTATGTGCTGAAAAGTAAACTGGACCTGCAGACCCCAGACAAGAACCAATACATGGCAGACCTCAGACCAGAACCAACGCACGGCAGACCCCAGACCAGCACCAATAGACTGAAGACCTCAGACCAGCAAAAACGCACGGCAGACCCGAGACTTTAAACAATGCACGCAGAGCACAGACCAAAACCAACACACAGCAGATCCCAACGCATGGAAGAGCGCAGACCCCAATGTATGGCAGGGCGCAGACCAGAACCAACGCACATCATAGTGCAAACCAGAACCAACGCACAGCATAGTGCAGACCAGAACCAACATGCGGCATAGAGCAGACCAGAACCAACGCACAACAGACTCTGCCCCAAACTAGTGTTATTATATAATGTATACTGGTCAGCTTACCATTCCATAAAGAAAAGGAGGTATCCAGAGTGTGCCATTCCCACAGAAAGTGTGCAGCAGCCCTGGAGAACGTTTCCATGGAAACCAGGAAGCTTGTAGAAGCCCAGCAAGTCCTCTCCACATGCTCAGACGGCGAGGGGTGGGCTCTGTAGAAAGCCAGATCTGATTGGATGTTGCTGTCAGAGCTGCTGGCTGCTCTGTTTCCCGGCTCTCTCTCCCTGCTCTCGCTCTCACTGACAGTCTGACACAGGGAAAGTAAGGCTGGGCTGGGGGTGAAGCTGCGTCCTGGCAGAGGAGCGATCTGATCATATAGACAAAGATAAAGTCCTGCCCCCCCTACACCAGGCACGCCGGCCCTGCCGCCACCTGCTGTAAGTTAGGCGAGATAGGCGGCAATGAGGCCGCTGAGAGCGCGGGGCCTTAGGCTGTTTTGGATTCAGGGCCAACGAGACTCTGAATCCCAAACAGCATAATGAAACTGCAGAACAAGTGGCGTCCATATTAGGCACCGACGCATTCTACGCATGCGCACCGCCATTTTGAAGTGTATCTTGGTATACCAGATTGCGCTGCGCATGCGCAAAACGCACCAGCGGACAATAGCGGCGGCCGCACGTTCTGAATATACATTTATGTATGCCCGAATATAGTTTTCGTATATTCGGGCATATAATAAATTTGTTATTTTGGATTCGGACGAACCGCCGAATCAACTGAATTTCGTTGATTTGCAGGTTCGTCCGAATCCAAATGCACATGACTAATCTGGATTGAGAGCAATAATTCTAGGGCCACTATTTATGGTTAACTCTAAGCTGATTACCTTAATTCGAGTGCACCTTTTACTGAAAATGTGGGTTTGGTAAACTGTTGTGCTGCTATCATGTGACATAAATGCAACTACCAACATTTAATTTTCTAGGGACTCTGCTTTCAGAAACATATAATTTTGGGTGGTATTTTAACATGTGTGCAAAAAAAATAAATGGAAAAACAGCTCTGGCAGCGAAGGCGTTAAAGGATAAAATTCCTCAATTAGGTAATTTCCTCATTTAGTGCTTCAGCAATAAACAGTCATTTTGTTGTGCAATATATATTACGCCATACCACTACATCAAAATAAACAGGAAAAAGCCCCCAAACATTTTCTTTCATTAGAACTACATGTATGACTACCTACTCAAACTAGGCATATTTCCATTCATTATTCTTTGTGTACTGTTTAGAAAGCACCAGTTCCACTAGAGCTGTCCAAACCATGACAAAACTTGGCTTTTGGCTTTTCAGTTCTCTTTTGTTAAGCCTCCATACTTTCGGCTTAGCTGTGTGCTGGCTGTTGTGTTAAGTGTTCTCTAGTTCTCCATATTAAGGACCTTTAATACCTGTGCAATCAGCAGGCTTGGGGAGCCTGCTGTGCAAGGTGGGAGAACTATCAAATATCTGAGGCACTTCTTGACACACTCTCCTCTCTCCAGGGTTTCCAACCCACCCTGTGAGTAGTGATATATGGGGGGGGGGAAATGTCTGCCCCGGGCGCCCATAACTCTGGTTACGCCACTGCCTGAGGGCCTAGGGGTATGGGAAGTTATGGAGATCTCCCCTCCTGGGAAGTGTCCCTAAGTTACTGGCTGCTATGGAGTGATACAGGCCTTGAGGAAGCAGAGCTGCAGTTTTCCCCCACATGGAGGTGGTAAAAGACTGAGTTAGGGGAAATCACACAGGAACCTCCCCATTGCTGTCCTGCATTGAACCCTAAGACTGAACACACACTGGAAGCTCAGTTGCAAAGAGCCAGATTTCCAGTTATGCATCCAGCCAGTTAAGCCCTGTGAGAGAGGGACCCAGAAAGCTAGAAGATTATGCAGACAACCAAAGGATTGTGCTTTGATGTAATTCTACAGGTATCCTCTGCTCTACAGGTATCCTCTGCTCCCTTTAGCCTCTTTCCCTACTCTCCATGCACATGCTATTAAAATATATTAAAATCTACTAAAAGTTTCTGGCGCCCCTCATTCATACCACCAAATGACAAGAACTCTACCCTGAGGAGGATGCGCCTAGGACAGTTATTATCATGTAAGTGGGTCTGGAGCATTTAGAATGTCACTATTTGTTACAGAGAAGCCCTAGTTCTTAGCTATGTGCTGGGGGCGGAAAAATAAAATGTTATCTGTGGGATAAGGAATGGCCACGGACAACTTTATGCACATTTGGAATGAATATTCATTCTAAACAATGCTACAAACTATTGCTACTACTATTTTTCAGTGACTGTAATCAAGGCACCAGTCTTTTCAGGTGCAAAAAACTGACTAATACATTTTACTGTGCCCAACATTCTGGTTCGGGTACAGCCCACCTTTGTTCTTGAATAATGTCGGTCACATTAAAGTACTTTTATATATACAGGTGAAACTCGAATAATTAGAATATCGTGCAAAGTTCATTTATTTCACTAATGCAACTTAAAAGGTGAAACTAATATATGAGATAGACTCATTACATGCAAAGCAAGATAGTTCAAGCCGTGATTTGTCATAATTGTGATGATTATGGCTTACAGCTCATGAAAACCCCAAGAACCCCAAATCCACAACCTCAAAAAAGTAGATTATTACATGCAATCAATAAAAAAAGGATTGTACATAGAACAATATCGGACCTCTGAAAAGTACAAGCATGCATATGTACTCAGTACTTGGTTTGGGCCCCTTTTGCAGCACTTACTGCAATTACTTTTGCACGATATTCTAATTATTTGAGTTTCACCTGTATATAGATACATTTTAACGGATATTTTACAAGATCGAATGCATGTGTTTAACAACAGTTGTTTTTTTCTTAGACATGGAAATGGGTAGTAGCGCCAATGGCCCTATATGTCATTGAAAGACTTATCCGATTTTGGAGATCACATCAAAAAGTTGTCATTACAAAGGTAATGGTGTGCATTTTCCTATACTGTTGACATATAATTCATCATAGTCTAATAAACCAAATGTGAAAAGAATCCTTATTACTTAGAGGCTGTTTTTATTCATTCAAACAATGTGTTGTATTATCTATTTTTTTTACTGTTCAGTCACTAATTGATTTTAAATTGTAGGTATTTAGGGTTCAGAAAATGCTGAGGACCCTACTGACCATATTGATCCTTTCCCTTACTAGGTTGTTACCCATCCTTTTAAGACATATGAACTGCAGATGAAAAAGAAAGGCTTCAAAATGGAAGTTGGTCAGTATGTGTTTGTACAGTGTTCTGCAGTATCCAGACTAGAGTGGCATCCTTTCACATTGACTTCTGCCCCAGAAGAGGACTTCTTCAGCATTCACATTAGAATAGTTGGAGACTGGACTGATGAGTTAGCTAAAGTATGTGGATGTGAGAAAACTGAACTTCAGGAAGCTTGGAAACTGCCTAAGTAAGTGTTGTAAAACTGAGTAAATTCCCATACTGTTACTGTGCAATAGAATTCTGAACGTTGCTTGTAGTTACCCAATATAACATTTGATAAAACATTGCATATATCTACATTATCTGGGCAAAGGTGGTTGTTTTAGTGCTTCTCAGGCAAAAATAGACCAAATATGGACTACTGCTGTTTTTTGCAAAAAACAGCAGCTCAAATAAGCTCAATTATTTGGCTGCAGTGAACTGTGTTTGCTTCTAACCCCCTTTTGTGACATGCTCCTGTATATGTTAGCATTTACCATCACCAAAGATGGTAAGAGACCTGTCGGTCCCCACACTGGGATCTTTGTTCACAGGTGCAGAGAATCTGTACCCTCCGTGCACTGATGTAAATGGCGCCTAGATGTAAAGTCTTAGAAACCTCTTACCAGCCATGCCACACCACCAGTGACATATGCAGGGCATGGCACATATGGCACATGCTCCGAAGATCAGCCAAGGTTTGCCGACCCATGGAGCCAGCAGACAGTAGACTGCTACTGTCATTATTCAGCCCCTGCCGGCCGCCACTTCCAGCTAGTTACTAGGATGCCCTGCCTTGTTACCCAAACCTCATAAGGTACCCTGAGTCCCCTGCTGGCTGTCTGTAATAGGTTCTCACAAGTAGATCAGTGAATGCAGCTGCACACATCATCATAGCACAAGAGAAAGGGATGACCCCGTTCTACACCTAATATTCACTGACCTGATCTTAACTGATCTTCAGTGATCTGGACTTAATACATACCTTACTGAAGATGTTCCAATCTCACTGGTTTCTTGCTCTACCCACAGAGGTCTTATGCAAGTAGATCTCTTGATCCTGAGCCCTCTGCCTTACAAACTACTGCTCAAGCTTGGATTATATGTGGACATCTGGAAACATAAACCCCACCTTCATGACATGGCATCTTAGTCCTCCCAAATCAACCTTCCATGGAGATTTACTTACCTCCCTACTGTGAATAAAACTACAGTTTAGTTAATGTACGCTTACCCGCTTAATTCTGATATCCTCCCTCTGCTCAAAACTGGGATACCCTAATTACCATTCTTAAATTGTCTTTCTATGTGAATCCACTGACTGCTTTACTTGGTAACCCTGGGTACCCCCCAGGGGTAACAAACAGCTATTTCTTCACTGAGACGTTCACAACCCACCTTTCATGCTCCCACTATGGGGGACTCAAGCCTCTAGTCGATCTGTACCCTGATAAATGACCTTTCCAATTATGACATTTGTATGACACTGTTAAACATCAGGGCCCACAACACACATATAATTCTCATTTGGTTGCTAGACTTTATCAAACTATACTGACCCAAGCAGCAGACTGGAAGAAAGAGCTAGACTTTTCCCTTACAGAATGCATCTAAAACACCTATTTACTCTTAACTCACAAGACCTTCATTTCAAGCACAGCACAGCAACAAAATGTCAAACTACTTTCATGCTAGTACCATTGTCTGGCCACCCTCCACAGAATTCTACCTGCTCTTTTTTCTTTCCTGAACTACTATTCCTTGCTGTCATCTCCCACCTCTCAGTCACTCTCTCCCACTGGACAGATATAGAGAGCACATATTTTTCACAACATTCCTGGTTTTAATGCTACACACTTTGGACCATAATGTATTAATTAGTGGTATCATAACCTGTAACTTACTGTATGCACTTGTCCTGAAGTCAAGATATCGATTGTTATACCTGACAGACTCACATAACTGTAATGTGTTGCTGACGTATGGTTACAAGGTCTTTGCCTATTGCTGGATTATATCTGCTTTTTTTATGTTGTAAAATTTGAATAAAAATATATAGCTAGATAGTAAATGCAAAAGTATAGTTACATTGTTGTCTTTTTTTCCACAAGGATTTCCATAGATGGTCCATTTGGAACAGCTAGTGAGGATGTGTTCGATTATGAGGTTGCTATGTTGATTGGAGCAGGAATCGGAGTTACTCCATTTGCTTCTGTCTTGAAGTCTGTCTGGTATAGGTACTGCAACAATGCAACAACTCTAAAGTTACAAAAGGTAATTATAAGTTGATGAGAGAATAATGTGAAATGACACTTTTTAATTTTTTTTCTTATTTCTTCAGTCTTTGTTTGTGGCAATAAACAGTCAATTAACGTAACCAACAGGGAATTACAGACATTATTATGGTATATATGGACACACCAGACATAGACAGTAGCTATACATATCATTAAATTAAACCTGCCATAAACGCTTGGTTTCAAACAAATGTAAACTAAGCATACGATGAAACAAAGCATACTTAGAAGTCACCATCATTGAAAAACGCACTTACATGATCAGTAAATCTAGAAATATAGTCAATTTGATTATATGAAAATGTTGACTTTTCCTGTTCTAGTGATGGCTGGCTGCAATGAGCAATAGGGAGGTAAGGGAGAACAATACCATACTTTTTGTTTTTTATCTCTGGCCTTACTAATAATTTTTACCATAAGCTCAGGACTGTCCACATTTACTTTGCAATGAATGCAGGTCAGTACCAAATGCCAGTTCCTAAACTTTGTGTATCAAAAGCTGTGCTGGCATTGTGTTCAGTATTTAGCACAGCATTATTACAGAGCTATAACTACTGTTTTCACAGAAGAGATGAATGATCTCTTTTCTGATTCTGATTCACAGTGTGAAAAGTACACAGATAATGCAACTGTATAGGGGCAAATCCTTCATCTATGTCCATTTTGTTCCTATTGCTTTTTCCTATTTGGTGTATGTTTTGTGCTGCAAGCTGACTGCAGTCAATTGTGTTTGCATTGCCTGAACCTACATATGTTTTGTAGTCTGTTTAACCAAGGCTAGTGACCATGGATTAAGATTATTAACAATTTCAAACAGAAGCAAAGTTGAATCTCAGCTGAGCTGCCTATATGCATTGAATTATACGTTTTATTTTTTACAGGCCCAGGATGTCAGTTTATCTCACCTGCATAATAATAGGAACATCTATTTGATATATTCTTTTGTCACCAAATCATAGAAGCATGTCACACCATAAAACTGTGTGTGCCTTTAAAATAACAAAATATTATGCTACCTAAAGTTGTCCATAGATTATTATTATTATACAGGATTTATATAGCGCCAACAATTTGCTCGGCGCTTTACAAAATAGATAGATGATGCATGAATAGCCTTTACTGTTTATTCATTTAGAGTTAACAGTGAATGATGGCCCTAGAATTATTGTTACATGTGCTATTTGTGTGTTTGAATTTGTGTGTTGGGAGGAGGGGGGGGCAGCAGGGTTGCTTTCACATTTTTTTTATTGCTTATTTGTATGTATTGTTTTTTTCTATTTAATTTTATTTCTATCACCAGGGGTCTAAAAAGCCCCTATATAATCGCATTGGCAGGTGGCATGTAGTCTTTATGGAGGCATCAGGGGTCTATTAGGCCCTAATGTCTCCTCTACCCTCTGTTACAACCGATCAAGCACAGATCGTGCTTGATCAGCTGTTTACCTGGCTGTGCTGGCCAGAATGTAACAGCTGTGAACCTGTAAATGCTGAGAGCACCGTGCTTCCGGGTTTACTGATCTCAGAGCAGATCAAGTAACGGACTACCTCTGGGTTTTTCCTAATTTTGGAAAGATTTCCTCTCATTTCCTGTTGTGCCTGCAAGGACAGGAAACAGAGAAATTTCTCCAATGGAACACAGGTGAAAATAAAACCTGACAAGGATTTTAACCTACCCTACTTTATCTAAAACATATAAATAGTTTTGGCTTTAGATACACTACAATCATTACTAAAAGTAGGGATAGACCTAAGGTACAAATATGATGTTTGTCTGTCTTGCCAGTTCATTCCTTAGCTCTGCTAAGGATAACAAAGTTGGACGTATCTTTTTGTGCAAAACTCAATATTTCCATTTATGATACAAGTATTCACTGCTTCTTCCTGTGCATTAGTGGACAAGTATAAATATTTTAGTGAGATGTTGTTAGGATACATTGCATGATAATGAATGAGTTAGCCTAATGTGCAAAAAGCCCCAGGGAATTTTGTTATCAATATTTAAAGCGTAGTTAAAATATATTTTGTGTAACTAAATTATGTTTGTAATCAGACAGAGATAAGTTCCATGGAAACCAATAACTCCTTATTTTTAATTTAGCAATATAGATTGTTTTTTGCTGTTAACAAAATGGCCTTAGGTCTGCAGTAACATACTGTATATATGAATATATAAATATATGCATGATTGGATTTTCTGTGTTCCAGATTTATTTCTATTGGCTGTGCCGAGACACCCAAGCATTTGAATGGTTTGCCGATTTGCTGCAATCCCTGGAGACTCAAATGCAAGAACGAAATAATGCTGATTTCCTCAGCTACAACATCTACCTCACTGGATGGGATGAAAGTCAGGTGAACTTCATCACTTTTTCCTTGTAGCATTTACTTTGCTAATGTAAATGTGAGTGATTGTGATAATCCCTTTGTAAAAGCTCAGTGCAGGCTAAACTAATGGAAATTAGTTGACTCTTTTCTAGACGTCACTTTGTGAAGTTTCAGCCATTAGATTTACAAGCTGGAGTTCATTATCATTAGCCCACCATGGAGTCTACCTTAGTTACCTTATTAGCCTTGCTGCACCTTCTGTAAAGTAAAACACACAGAAATAACACAGAAACTAGTCATTATTAAATATTGGTTTTGACTGATTTTTGTCTGTCACAATAATCAGATAAAACAATTCCCAACCCAACCCAAGACCCAACTTACATAGAACAATATGTGTCTTGCAAAAATTTAGTTATCAGACATTGCGAGCACTGATGCATCTGGTGTCCTTGCTGTCACAAAAAGGGTCAGAGCTGTTGTAATAGTAACAGAATAAAGACTGTCTGTGTCTAAGTGTGGGCAACCAGACCTGCACGGATGTGTCGGTCAGCATGCAGCCTCGCACAGCTGCATCCTGTCATAGAGATTTGCAGGCAGCTGCACGCAGTTACAGGCAGCACTTGTTGCTCCTGGGAGCAGGTCTCTGCAGGGGCATTCAGCGCGTATGGATGTGCACTCCTGGGTGAATGAAACTGACTTTTACATAACATTTTAAATATAAAATAGTCAAAATAGGTTACAATGTGACTGCAAAACAGAAATGAAAACACAGCCACCCCGTGAAAGAAGAACTTTTAAACTTGCCTATTTAGTGGGTGGCATGTTAAATCTTATCTCTATTTAAGAGGCACCACTGCAATCCAACACTTCTGGGTGTGTCAGAAAGTGTCCCCCCCACAGGGTGCTGTGGTTTCTCCTGCTGACCCTTACATTGATACTAGTGATGCGGGGGACAAGGGGAGGGACCACAATACTCAGTGGGGAACACTATCCACACACTACACACCCAGAAGCAGCAGTGCCTAGAGCTCTTGAGTGAAGATTTATTACATGATGAACTTGAAAGGTAAGTATAAAACCCTGTTTGCCCAGGATGTAAGTGTTTTCATTGTTTTTGTGGTGACAGTATTTTTTTTTTTTTAAACCACGGCAATTATACTGAACTTCCCCTTGAGCACAGATTATCAACCAAATTTACTAGTACACAAGAAAGGGAAGTCAGCATAATAAAACATGTATTTTGCTCCATCTTTTTTTCCATCTTGTCACCCAGTCTGGTTGTAATCAATGTGGATCTTTTTTCATCCTAAGGCCACTGCATTTTCATTGCACCATGACCAAGAGAAGGATGTGATCACTGGTCTTAAGCAAAAGACCTTGTATGGAAGACCCAACTGGGAAAATGAATTTAAAAACATTGGAAGCACACATTCCAAGTAAGTCTCTCTGCTAACTATGTGGATCGTAAGTTAATCTAAACTAACATCTCAGTTTTGGTTGGATAAAAGTGGATTGATTCATTTATCCACTTTTTCTTTCACTTAATCATGGGATGCCCTGTCAGTATATGTTAATGTTTTCAGATACAGTTTCTCATGGTGTGAGACTGTCAACATTGCAGCAGAGAACTGTGTGCGCACCTAGTTTTGATACTGGCATGTCTCAGGGTAATGATCAGGAACCAATCAGGTTCTCTGTCATGTGTTTACAATGGCAGCCAATAATATTGTTCGCAGGTAGGCTGGAGAGGTTTGTTTACAAAGACAGTTCTTTTACTTCTTTGTCTATTATCAGCTTAAAAAAACACGAGCAAGGCATTTATAAAAGCCATGTTCCAGAAAAAAAACATATAAACAATGTAAAATTATTTAGGTATGCAACTTTGTCACTGAGTTATTGGCAAGTTGATCAATGCATATTGAAGCTTTTAAACTGGCCATCTAGGCTTTAATGACCTCTGATCATGAAGGGAGCAATCGCTACTCCTTACTTTCTGGGACCACCTACCAACTGTAGCAAGAGTGAATGGGTGTCTCTCTTTCAGTTGGATTCTTTGTTTCTTTTCTATTTAAGTACATCTTACTATAAATTATACATTATTGATTAATGGCTTAGCTTAGCTCAGTGTTTATATCCCTGTAAAGCTACCCACTAGAAGGCAATGTTGGGAGAGGGGAGGTCTGCTCTGCATTATGATGAATGATCAGCTTCCCTTCCAGGGGCACCTTATTCTCAGTAGAGCAGTAGGCAAAAACAGAAAGTGAATATGGTATATAGGGAAATCACTTAATTGTTGTCGCTATGAGCCAAATAAAGCTAAGAGGGGATTCACCCAGTCATCATCCACTTACATTTAAGTTCTGTGTGAAATCATCCTCACCTTTTGCTATAGAATACATTGGAAGACAGCAAAATGAAACATAATATTACCCAACATGTAATCAGAGAAAAAGAACACCAAAACAACACTAAAAATATAAAAGTCTTAGGAGGATGATCACTAAATCAGATGTTTTTTGTAGGTGGCAGCAGGAAACTGTAGTTGTCCACTCCTGGCAATCGTGCTTATTTATAGATTGTTTGTTTCAGATGTTAAATTGTAACTGTAATTGTAACTGTACCCAACCACATATAATGTCTAATATCAACTGTAGAGTACCTAACCATCTGTTCGTCCTTTATGCAAAACATGATCTATGATTTCCTTTTGTTCCCAAGCTCCAGAGTGGGTGTTTTCCTGTGTGGACCTGAAAGTCTTGCTGAAGACCTCAGTAAGCTGTCCATTGCAAACTCCAGTGCAGACCCCAGGGGTGTACACTTCATCTTTAACAAAGAAAACTTCTAAAATGAACAAAGAGTCTTCCTTCCATGAATTATGTTTGCATGTGTACCTTTCAATATGAATCTGTCAGAAGATGACTAGTGTTATACTTTTGGATCTCTATGAAATACACAGTTATCTTATATTTGAGAGCACAGTGTGCAGTCTCTACCAATTCCAGAAGCAACCATGGACTTTCCTAGCACTGAACTGTGTCAGGAATAGTGCTGGAGCAAAAATGAAAACTTATGGTTATAAATAAAATCAGAGCTGGTATAGATTGAGTGGGTACAGCCTTTCAGCTTCATTTTCAAATAATATGTAAAAGGTTGCCAGGTTGGAGGTTGCCATTTTTAGGCTTTGCAGATGCTTTTTCATTTCATGCAAATCAAGATTAGAACTGTACAGTTTAGTTTAGAGGCTTCAGAGGATGTTAGGCTTGCATTGTGCTAAATGAATGCAATGCAATATTTTTTAATGATACAATACTGTACATTCTCACATAACAATAAATGAAGATGCTTCTGCAATCAGCCGCACGAAACCGGTGTCTATAAAATCCAAATTTATTGTGATGAATTACATACAGACTAAAAACACAAAGCACACAGTTCACCCCTATCATGCATCCTTGCAATCCACACTTGGTGCACGGATGACTCTCCTCTGGAGTGATAGGCTCAAAAACTGTAGAACCAGCACAGAATGATCTTCCAAAGAAATTCAAACTTTATTCCACTTGCATCTATACAAAGAACAACTGCTGATGTGTTTCTGCCTTACTCAGCCTTGGCCATAGCTGTGACTAAGGCCGAGTAAGGCAGAAACGTGTCAGCGGTTGTTCTTTGTATAGATGCAAGTGGAATAAAGTTTGCAATTCTTTGGAAGATCATTCTGTGCTGGTTCTACAGTTTTTGAAATTACATACATGGATCCAAGATTAAACATTTATTTACCACAACAAATTTGGATTTTATGGACTCTGGTATCGGGCGGGTGATTGCAGAAGTATCGTTTGAGGAGTGTGAGCACACTATAGCCTGCACCCGATGCACACACTGCCTTGCAGTCGGAGGTGAAAAGGAGCGGTGAGTCCTGGCATTTCTGAATAAATTAAGATGGGTTGATAGTTTAGAATGAATACTATTAAAAAATCCTTGATATAAAATAAAGACATGGGATTTTCAGTACCTGTTGAAGGCATTAGATCTCAGCTTATTTACACACACATACATAGGGCAGATGAGTACCTGTACTACAAGTGCATTCATCATGCACCATGTTGGATGGCATGTAATATAGGAATGGTTCCAGTGTAGACATCTTGAAGTGACACCAAACTCAGGCTCCAAGCTCGTTCCCTAGCATGACTAATTATTGGGTGAAACATGCCAGAATGAAGAACATCAACGGCGGGACAATGTGTACCTGTGTGCTAAAACAACAACTTTTCAGTGAAGCTTGTGGTGCGCGACCGGACATTTTTTCTCTAAGTAACTGCTAATGCTGAAGCAAGACAGGCTCAGCCAGTGTACACCCACCATTCTCTCTCGTGCTGCTGCTGTGAAGGAGCGGTGATATCTGGCTATGGAAGTTAATAGTCAGGACGCACACACATACATACATAAATAGACCTGAATTTAAGCATTTTCCCTGCATGGAAAAGTAGAACTGAAGCCAATTTTATATAGTTTTAGATTAGAGAGTAAGTTTTTTTGCCATCTGTGTCCCATTGGTCAGATTTCCCTTCACTTCCTTGTCCGATAGGCACAACAGGAAGTGAGGGGGAACTCCTTCAAAGTAAGGAAAATCCCCAGTGGTCAGCAGCGTCACCAGAGCTAGTGTCCCCATTGGAAGATGCCAATCTATTCCTGTTCTGATGACAGCCCAAAATGTGGGATTTGCGTTCACTTGCTACTGCTGCACTTTAAATGTACTGAAAAGGGAAACCCCCAAGATAGCAGTGCAGTGGATCTAAAAACATTTGTTTGGTAATTAATTTTAAATGACATCAAAACATATTTTGCTTAACAGTATTTTCAATACGAATTACACATTATATATTGTTTATACATGCAATTAAAGTGACACAATTTTTGGTTTTTAGTTTTAATATGTAAAGCTATACTGTATATATATTATTCATGTTAGCTTTGGAAAAAAATATTCCTTACTGAAATAACCAAATTTGAAAATGTATTCATAGTGTATTCTGGAGCATAAGCATCACTGGTTATACAAATATATATATGAATAAAGAACATTTTCATATTTTTGTCTGCTCTTTTCTAGATAACAATAATTCTCTTTTCCTTATTTTTGTTAAATGAAGTATGTTGCATGTGTACTGTGATATAGAAAATATGAAAACTTTGCTCGGTGTAGTCGATTATGGCTATTGCAGGGGTTAGGATCCCACTGTTGAAGACTGGGAGAGCTTATGGCTGTTCTACATAGGCAGTTTTAATCTCTTGCAACAGAGTGATCTAAAGTGACATTAAAGGATATTTTTTTCCCTCCCCCAGTGTTAGTGTAAGGACTTACCTTATATCATGCCTCTTAATCCGATCATCTTCTTCCTTACTGTGGTTTTCAGATGTCCCTCCAGCGCTTGTGCGGGTCTCTGATCCGGCGCTGACTCCTCTGTCCTCCTCTTCTCTGATGTCCCACGGAGTCTGTGCGGGTGCACGCTGCTCCATAGACTTACCTTGTGTCTCTCCTCGTCTCCTGACTGAACATCTGAACTGCGCATGCAAAATCCTTTGCGGCCGCCCGAGACTCTTCAGATGTTTGGACGGGAGCGTGCGGTGAAGACACTGGTAAGTTTGAACCTGTTTCAAAAGGTGTTTTTGAAAAAAAGTTTTTGCATATATCTACTGCTTGCTAGCCGTAGATATATGCAAAAAAACCATGAGGGTTTAATAACCCTTTAACTTCTTGCTGGCAGTCACCTCATTAGGCTACAGCTACACGGGCTAATAAAATTACTGGCAAGTATTACCCAGGATTAGCAATTAATCGACAAACAGACAAACAGATGACACAAATGACTCCCTATGGAGTCAATCATACAAGTAGCATGTAGCTTCAATCTCCCACAATCACATTGTTCCAATGTTACAATCAAGTGCAAAAGATTTTACTGCATACTTCTTGTGTAATTGTTCCATCTGTTTAGCGATCAAGAGTTAGTCCTAATGATTAATCACGATTAATTTTAGTAAAGTGATTGAGCTACTAAAAATATCCTATGGAAAGTTTCAGGGACAACGTACCGAGATACAGCGCAGGGGGTTGAAAATAGTACTAAATGTTTAGTTGAGCGGCTTCAGAAACATCCGGACCGGGGTGTTACTAACAGTAAGCGGACAGACCATATCTCCCTGTCACAGGGGAACCCCTGGCGTCACCAGGGAACGCCCCTGACAGGTCCGCCAAGGGCATACCCGCCTGAGAACTTTTTATCAGCAACGGAGGAATTCATCGCCTCTGCCTCCTCACTACCTGCAATCAACAGGACAACAACAGACGGACATCCCTCCTAGCAACAGATCGCAACCAGGAATCCCTGAAAAACCAGAACCAACTAACTCCACCCCTCGCCGATGACTTCGCAACACTCCTTACCTAATGGTAAGTTTCTACATTTGTTTTGATTCACTTTTCACATAATATCGTCATCTCCGTATCATACATTTATGTTTTCTGGGACGAATCGGATCAACCACTGAACGCATCACTCGGACCCTGGAACTAAAACTGGTCCCTATTCCAGCCTTCCTTCCTAAAAAAACGCCCCCCATCGCTTGGTGTGTAGCGCTTCTCCCCTCCCTTCTTTGTTTAAAAATATCCTGTGTAGCTCTAGCTTAACAAGATTACTACCAGCAAGTAGTTAAAGGAGAATTATGAGGCGAGTGATTTTCACTCACCTCATAATCTGAGCCGAACTGTGACAATTAAACTGTCACAGGTCGGCTCAGTAGATCGGGAAGTGAGCGAACACATAGCGTTGCGCGCTCACTTCTCGATCTATCCCTGCACACTGTCACTCACGGCTCCCTGCAGGGATTCCCCCCCTCCCCTGTCCTGTCTTCCATCGCTGACTGGCGAAATGGACGGGGTAGGGGGCAGGCACAGCTGGGGTCCGTCCCGACTGCGGTGTCTCAGTATACCGCAAGCTGTAGCACGCGGTATACTGAGCTTTGGGTCACGGGAGAACGCTAGTTTGTGTTCTCCCGTGACCCTTAGGAGAACTATGGGGAAAAGCCCTAACCCCATAGTTCTCCTTTAAATCTCTCAGTAATAAATGTTTAATATCACCCATGTAGCTTAGTCCATAGCGTGTATGTATAACCAATCTTTTTCAGTTAGGAAAGGGTAAAAAACCCTGATGTTAATTTTTTGATGTATGTGTATCATTGGGAAATTTCCTAGTAACACAACAGGAAGTTAGAGGAGACCTACCAAAGTGAGGGGATTTTATCTCTTAGGCAGTTGTCCCCAGCACATGTGTCCCGATTTGAAGATTTCCCCTTTCCTTTTGTTCTTGGGACTCCTCTAAAAGTTTAGTTTTTCCCCTCACTTTCCTTTTCTGGAACAATGGTCATCAATAGGTGAATCTACTAAATAAAGACACAGACATCAATAAAAATGTGACGGGTGGTCTAACCCTTCCCAAATCTATCCAAAACGTAAAAAAAGGTTTTGCCTAGAGATACACTTTAAACACAGAAGTGAACCCCACCCTACTTAATCTAAAACAGAAACGTATGTTTAGAGCAGTAGCTAAAGTGCAACTTCCTCCGTATAATCCAATATAAGTATCTTCACTACTTCCTCATTATTTTTATTTGTCTTATAGATGTAATAGTGAAAATCTATACAAGAAGGAAGTTCATACATAGGTCAGTCTTATCCTGTAGATATTCCTTGAAAGAAATGTGCACGCTGAAGAAAGACTGATTCTTAATGACTGTGAATTCTAAATTGTATTAGGAGCACATATGTATGTTTAGATTAGCATGCTGGACATATGCTGTACCCACCCTGAAAT